AGCTTCTTGCGCACACAGTTCCGTTTAACTAAAGGCTTACTATACCTCAAAAGAACCGCAATGATCTAACTTAAATTGCTTTGGAGAGCGTTTTTTTGATTTAATGCGCATCTCTATTTTAAACTTGAAATAGCTGTTTTTTTTGCCCAAATTCTTAAGTTTCAGTCCTGTGTCACCTTAATGATTGTGTCATACCTTACTCCACATCTGTTAAAAACTTAGGTATCATTTTAGAACCAACTCTAAGTTGGAATGAGCACTGTACAAGTGTGGCACAGAAGGTATTTGGCACACTGGCTCAGTTAAAGAGGAATTTCTCCTTCATACCACTGAAGATTCGGAAACTGCTTGTTAACACACTGATTTTTCCTCACATTGATTATGCTGCTGCTGTTTTCTCCAACATGTCTGTTTTAAATAACCAAAAACTACAGAAATTGCAAAATGCCTGTATCAGGTTTGTCACCGGAGCTAGAATGTGTGAGCATGTAACGCCTCACTATAGAGATCTAGGAATTCTGAAAGTGGCTGAAAGAAGAACACTAGCAATTGCCACGCTGCCCAGGTAGCAGAGCTGCATAAAATGTGCATTTCGTGTCCAATCTAAACCGCGCCTAAACCGTGTGTAGGCGCCTAATATGCACTTAAATGCGCGTTTAAGATGGGACATATAATGCGGTTCGAATGCAGTTTTCTATGTTTTGCTACCTGGGTGATGTTTAAAATTGTTAAACAAAAACAACCTCTATATCTGTATCATAAATATGTCTTCAACTCTACTGTCAATGTCAGAGTAACTAGGTCTAATAAACTCACCATCCAAATACCTAGTCTTCGCCTGGAATATTACCGTCATTCTTTTCATGCGATGTCAACAAAGTACTGGAACAACTTTAAACTGTATGAAATGTTAAATAAGTCGCAATGCACTGTCAGAAATTATGTCTTTAATGCTTTGTTTGCCAATATGTAATTAATTTTATTTCTCTTTGTCTGTGTACATAGTCATTGTTGTTAACTATGATAGAATGTGAGCAGAGCAGGTCTGTATTCGAGCGGGACTTAAAGTCCTTTTATACGGACCTCAATAAAATTTATTTCAATTTCAATTTATTTCTCTCTCTCTCTCTCTCTCTCTCTCTCTCTCTCTCTCTCTCTCTCTCTCTCTCTCTCTCATTTTCTCTCTCTCTCTCTCTCCTTCCCCAATCTTTCTTCCTCTCCTCTCCTTCCCCATCGCTATCACTTCGCTATCGTCTATTCCTTCTATTTCGTCATATCACGTTTTCTCAATCGTAAAAAGTTGCCTTATTTTTATAGTTTTTCTCCTTAATTGCTTTATGTTTTTTCATAAGAAGCTGCTGTTCTGACATCTTACATTTTTTTGTGTGCTAATGTAGCATGCATACAAGAGTAAGGAATAGAAAATTGTTGAAGAAATAATCCCTGTAAGCCAGATTTTCAAACGCTATGCAGAGAAGTATTTTCCTCCTTCCCTCCCCTCTCTTTCGGCAGCCCCTCGCCCGTCTGAATTATAGATCAGGGAATAATCTGTTTCGTATGATTATGACACCTCCTCTCGCATCGTGCCGGCAGCTTGTCACCCCTACACTTGCTTTGACGCTGCACGAAATATACAGGGGAAAAAAACGGGAGGTGAGTCGTAGCACTATAAGCATAATCAGAGATCATCAGCGTTCACAGCGAAAAGATTATCATCTCAGCGATTTTGCGCCTTTAAAAAAATCATCTGGTTTAGCAGAGAACGTTGTACACGAGGTTGTACATTTATAAACGCAGTCTTAAATTTTGCGCGCCGCGAAGAACTAAATCGGTGTGGTATAGTCTAAAACAAATCTCGTTCCCATTCAATGTGCATAAATTTGTAATTAACTACATTTGTCATTAGAAATTTTCACGTGAAACCCTTTTCTACAGTGTCAAAACCACAGGCGTAAATTTTTACCCACGTTTCAGAGCTCTTATTTTTTAATTTACTATAATTACTCACTGTAAAACCGCTTGAATTTTGTCACTGAAACCGTCTCTAATTTGTCTTCACGTTGAACTTAAAAAAGCTGCGACAGCCGGCTCCGGGGCACAATCCGTTGGCCAGTCCGACTCCCGGGACGGAGCCGTGTAAAAAGCTTTTTAAATAACAAACGCGATGCTCCACAACCCCCCTGCGCGCAACCCGATACCTCTGTTGTGCCGCGCTAAACCACACCGTGATGTCGCCGAGATAAACGTCTGTCGTCGAGGGGTGCAGTAGTGCAAAGCGCTTGCGGCCCCCACAACCCCGAAGGGGTCGTTGCAGTACTACGTGATTTGTAGGGGGGGGGGTGAAAATATTATGGGGCTCTAAAGGGTCAGGACCACTATTGAAGCCCGTTAAACCCCATAATAGGTTCCAATGTTCCTTATCCTTTGGGGACCCCGTAATATTTGTATTTCCCCCCCCCCCCTAAGTCACGTAGTTTTGGGACTACCCCTAAAGGGGCTCGAGCGTGTGGGTCCGGTGGCTGGCTGCGCTGGCCGCGCTGGCTGCTCAGCTCGCTGCCAACTCCCTCCCCCTCGTAAAGACGCCCCAGCGATGGCCGGCGCCGCGGCGCCAGCAGCTTGCCAGAGGAGAAGGGCGGGGCGCTGCGACCTCACAGCTCAGCGCGCGCCCCGCCGGGGCAAAGCTCTTTCTTTGTAAAACGAAAAATAGGAAAGTGTGCGCCTGCTTGTGCGCGTGAGAGCCCCGGCTCGCCCCGCCCCGCCCGCCCCGGGCCGGACGCCCGTCTGATATAAATAAAACACTTTGCGCGGCACTTTGAGTCCGTCCGGACCGGGCTCGGCGCGACCCAGGGGCGGCGGCACCTCCAAGATGGCGGCGCCACGCCCCACCACGCCCCGCCGCGCACCGCCCTCAACAGCCCTCCTCTCACGCCTTCTTCTTTGCTTTCCGGATGGTGGGGGAGAGCGAATTGTTCGCAAACCATCCCGTAATGGTCTCACTTCACAGACAGCAAACTGCAACGACGACTATAACAAGGAAGTTACACGCCGTACAAACTCCGCCACCTTTTGCTAAGCGCTCATCTCGGCGGCTTCACGGACAACAAGCCTGCGTCTCCAGATCATGTTTGTTAGCATTTAAAAAAAATAAGAAATGCCAACAGTTGTCATTAAAAGGCGATAAAGAAATAATAGTCTACCAACGGGAACGTGTTTATATAAAGTTTACTGTGTGTGCCTGCTCGCGTCTGGCTTGAGGTTGGGAAACCCTCGGCAAAAATAAAAATGCAAACGTGTGCGCGTGTGGGCTGAGCCGTCAGCGCCGCCTCCTCCTCCTCCTCTGCCTCCAAATCTCGAGGCGTATACATTTCCCGGGCGCGGCGGTGTAGCTGCGCTGCTCGGCGCTGCTGCGCGCGGCGCCCGCACGTGTGCCTCTCAGAGCCGCTTTCAGCGAAACGAAACGACATTAGGAGAAGCTTTCAGACGTCCCCCGGTGAAACCTCTCTAAACCGCAGCCCAAGCGGCGCGGCGAACCGGGGAGGATCCGACGGGCGGGGGGAGCACAGAGATGCGAGTAGAAAATGGGGGGGGGGGGGGGGAGAACAAAAGTCTTATATGGGGGGATTCGTTTCAGTTAACGATAATTTCGGTTATTTTTGCGAGAGCACGCGGAGGAGGAGGATTGGGGCTCATAGCTCGGCGCCCGGAGTGTATCGCCTCCACAAAGCTGAGCGGAGCCCCGCCCCGAGAGGGAGGGCAGCTGGCTATTGTCCGCTAATCCTATCAGACCCGTCCCAAAATGGAGCCAACCTAACCTCCGCTTGCCTGTGCGCCCCTCCGCTCCCCCGCGTGCTTCCGGGCGCGGGGCGAGCCCCTGCGGAGTGCTGGGTAGGCAACCCGACGACAGCCGTCCGGAGCGGGCGGCCTACCTCGGGGCGCTACACTGGCGCCCTCCCCGCTTGCGGAGGAGTGAGTGAGAGAAAAGTTACAACTTCTCTTATGGCGCGTGAGGGTGGCCCAAGGGATACTCAACTATCAGAAACCATTAGTGTCCATCCTTAAAATCAATATACAAAAACAAAAATCAAGGAAAAATTAACCTCGAAAATCAAGACAAGACAAAAACAGAAAAATCGGTGTACGCTTGAATTTATAGAGAAGCACCCACCCCTCGGGGCGAGCCGAGCACCTGTCTCTCTCGCACCCCAACTGAACGCGGCCTCGCCCAGCCACCACACCATCAGATAGCGCTGCCAAGCGCTGCGCTCGGGCCAGATGGCCGTGTCGTCCCTCTGCAGGCCATTTGAACCGATTAAAAGTTTTGATCGCTATCGCGACGGACCCGTCCTCGTGTGCTCCGGCTAACCCCCTGGAGGCTGTTTTAAATCCCCCGACACTGACCGTCACGAGAGACGTTTGCTCGGTACAGTCTGGGTCTGGATCCCCATCCCCCGGACTGTCTGCTGCCTCTATAGCAGCGCCAGCGCCCTCTAGCGGCCGCGGGCCAAAGTGACGCTGACCCATGCTGGCGCGGGGAGTATTCGCGACAGGGAGAAAAGGGGGGAAAGGGGCTCTTACACCTGAGCAGGAAATACTATTTTCAGTACTTTTATTTATTCACGGCCGACCGAGTCATCATCACCGGCCGGATTATGTTTATTTCGTGGCTTTTCTTTTTACATACTTACAACAACCTGTCGTCATGCACAATTATTCATCATTTCCGACATTATCGTTATTCTTACTGCCGAGCGGCGCGTCAGTCCAGGTCGAGCTTCTTGAATGAGCCCTGGATGCCGAACACGTCCGACGAGTTCTTGGACTTGCCCGCCCGCTTCGT